TCAACGAGTGCTCGTTGACCACTCTAACAAAGATGAAATCGAATCAAAATTCAAGTCTCTTCGACATTTATCAACTGAATTATTATTTTCCGGTCGCAATCTCGAAAGCCACTTGCAAAAAAGCGGCAACAAACAAATTGGATGGGGCGAAAGTGGTATTAAGATAAGATTTGTCTGAACTTCAAGGAAATAAACGATCGAATTAAAAAAAAAACAACCAACAACATGATCTTCGGGACAAAAACAAGGTCGCATGTCAATATTGAATGTGCCCTGTTTATTCGGGTACATTCTGTTGTAAATTAGTTCGGTCGTTTTGGAAACAGTCTAATCATCGACTTGTTCGGTGTTCGACCTAATCAAAATGACTACAATAAATAATAGTTATCTTTATGAAGCGATTTGTTCGTGGGATGTGTGTGTGTGTGTGTGTGATATTTGCTTGAAATGTCCGCACCCGAATGCCATTCCATGGCTCTTTGGAAAATTCCATTGTCTTTTATTTTCGGCACAACACCATTTTGCCATTATCACCAATCAGCGCTCGTTTATCAGTATCGGTTGCATTGATTAAAGTCTAAAACTATTCTTTTTTCTCGTCCAAGTTAGAAGCAGTAAATCGAATGGGCAAACTAATCATCGACTCCGGCTGATACACACACACACACACACGCACGCACTCGAGTCCATCTCATTGTTTCCGTCTGGCACGGTTGATCGGTTATCTTGGTCTAATAATGTAACCATTAAGTGTTCAATTGATAAAAAATTTGGATGAAATGTATGAATGAGATAGAACCTCTGTTTGCCCAAACAACAAAATATTAATAATTTATCTGGATTTTGGAGCACGGTTAGCCCGAAAGCCTAATCATTTCATAATTACCACCGAATGCATAATCAGCAAGCAAAAGTAATCTTGTTTATCGATTATAAAATCAGATGGAATTTTTTTTATCATATTCATTAGAGCCGGCCACCGACGACAACGTCATGTTTGTTCCTATCTCTCCCCATATTTCTCTCTTTCGATATAAATTATGTTGTTTGTTCAAGACTTTCGCTGCGAAACACACGCTGATTTTCTGCAACTTAATTACATCCATATTTATTCTTCGAGTTGGACTAATTTTGGAATCATTTCTATAGACACACTTATAGTGCTTGGCAAATGTTGATAGGAGGGCAGGGCAAACAGTGAGAAAAAAAATCACTTTTTGATAGACTTCTTTTCACCAAATCTATTTATCAACGGATTAACATCGAAATAATAACACTAACAACAACGAAAACGGAGTAACAAAACAAGATGTGATAAGATAAAGTGATTACGAGTTGTGGCTTGCTGTAACTCGCTTAGATACGGAAGCTAATGCCGTTTAGTTCAAAATAAAGAAGAGACAGCCAATAAAGAAAAAACAACTTAATTTTGACACACACACAATTCGCCATGTGCATGCATCATATTGTTTGCACGAGAAAATATTAATTAGATGTTTGGGGTGGCTTTATCAATGTTGGATAATGTCAACAGCACAACAACAGCCGACCCAATCGTCACTCGAAATATAGACAAAAATTGATACGTTCCCATTCAATGAATGGATGACAAAGTGTGAGAAACAAGCATCAATTTAGTATTTGTCGTCAGTCGTCGTCGATGTTGTTTTTTTTTTGGCAAGTCTATTTGAACTTCAGATAGATAAAGGTGTACACTCTAAGCGGCAACCGTATGGGTTGAGGAACAACGTGACGCTTGTTCGACGTCAATGGATCAAAAGTTTTTCAACTCATCCGGCTATTGTTATTTTTCTGTTCCATTTTTCGGTTTATTTATATATCGTTTTGGAACGATAATTGCCATAAAATAATGATTGTGGCTCATTACATAGCCCCCTGTGAAGAGTGCACACATCGCGACAGTCCGACGATCAAATGCCATGATTACATGCCAAGCGTGTGTGATTGATACGAAATTTTACGTCTTCACTGACAAACAGAACGAAAACAACAACAAAATGACACACACGAAGCCAACGAACAGACCAAATAGAATGTGCGAAAAAAAATCCATGTCCATTAGATTGACACAGCAAAGAGATTGAGAGTGAACAGAAGAGAACAGAAAAAAAAACATACACAGCATTTTACACGTGATTAGCAAGTGATGTTATCATACTGGACACAATATTTGCACGCTCACTCTCTCTCTCTCTCTCTCTCTCTCTCTCTCTCTCTCTCTTCGAATCGGTCTCTATTTCTAACACTACATAGAATGTAGGCTACTGAAGTTGTTATTTTTTTCCCCGAGAAAATTTTAAGATACTTTAGGCCATTTTTTTGGACCGTAAACTAATTCATTTTAATATCCATATTTTTTATTTCAAATGAAGCAATTACGCTTAACATGAAATAATATCATGTTCATGTAATTCAATTTTGAGATAACTCAAAAAAAAATTTGACACTTTTTTCGTTGCCAATGTGAAATAATGTATGATGACCGTTCACATTGATTGTACATTGAAACAATAATTGAAGAATACAATGTCATCATATAAATTTATTTGATTATTTTTGACAATATTAAAATGATTTGCATACAAAAAGTATACTACGATTAAAACTACATTCCATGTAGTGCTTACGATAATAATTTGATGAGAAACATCAAATTAATTAAACCCCTTAAATTTACGAGCTTCAAGAAAGCAGAGCGGAGCGAAGCGATGATCTGCGGTCTTGTTTCTCAATGGTTCGAGACGAGGAATGAAAAGGATAACAATTCTCGCGACTCTCTCAATTATTACTTCCAAAAGATATGCAACAATGATATCGCAACTCAGGCTAGTCCCATAATCTTCTATTTGCTCAGACACGGGGCTGCCTATATTTGTCATATCACGATAGCAATGTGCAATGTCGAGACACACGATGGATAAGTCACTTTTGCACGATTTGCCTGATAAAAATGCAAGTTTGCAGGTTTGTATTGTGTTGTTTTTTTCTTTGTTAAACAAACAACCACGAATGCGGTGTGCTTGTGTATATCGTCTCCAAAATGAACGGCATCCATGCAGCCTACAGATGATCATACCAAAAATAAACCCATTCAAACCGTGTGTGGAATTTGAACGGGTTTTTTTTTTAAATAGCCGATAGTGTGCGCATGCAATTGTGTACGTATAAATTATAAAGGCTAATGTTTTTTTTTCCTTCTTGATTCAGCCTGAGAATCAACATCGATGAAAAACGGTTCTTTCTTTAATTTCACAGGGATCAATAACCGTGGATGATGAAAAATTTAAAGTGAGAGAGAGAGAGAGAGAGAGTGATCGTATAGGAAAAACGCTTGAAAACGGTCCGAAAATAACCACAACACAAACATTTTCGGTTGTGCGCAACAGAAAAACAACCAAAAATATTCAAGCCGATCACATGAATTGCCGATCTACTGATAAAAAAAATGCCGTGTGCTCCACATTTTCGATACCATTTTAAGTCGTGCGATGCTAATATCCAAAGTAGCGGAGAGGCAGCAGCAATAACAAAAAGATGAAGCAACAATAGCAGAACAAGAAACGGTGCTTCGGAAAATAACAACGAATACCGTTTAATCAAATTGATAATTTGGGCCGGTAGCACACCAACACCGAATCATTCAGTCCAGACACACGTTCTATCGCCATCGTTTTGTTTGTCTCATTTGGCCGTCTCGTTTTGTGCGTTCTTCTATCATTTTTTTTCTTCCTTTTTTCCTCTCACTTTGGCTTGTTTCGACTGATTTTGTCTCATTTCATCACATTTCTTCTCATTTCTTCTAATTCCTTCCGATTTGTCTGGATCATGTCATTGGACCGGGCCAACTGATATTTCTTTGATTGGATTTGGAATGTAAAATTCGTTGAAAACATTGTTTTTCTCTCATTTTTGTTCAAAACTTTTTTCTTTCCATTCATTTTTGATGAGTTTTCTTCAAATTCAAATGATTTATTTGCATTTATCATATTGCGAATTGCGACGACGGATTGTCGTTGACACACACAAACACCGTTCTCACCACAGCACGTACACAGAAGGCGATACACAATATGACAGCAGCATGGCCAACAACACTCACGGCATGGTGAGTCGTTGTCTCTATTTGTACTTGATCTTGGTGGCGAGTGTGTGAACAAGATTGATGTTTTTACAATGCATAGCGAAGTTGCAGAAGTAACGAAAAAAAAGCCAGCAAAAACAATGTTCCAACAGCAGAAAAACAACAAAATCGTTGTGTGTGTGTGTGTGTATATGCAAACATTGATGAAAATCGCTGTTTACCCGTTCAAAGAACAATCGGCATTTATTCATCAATTTATAAATTTTTATTTTGTTTTTATTTGCTGTCTGACCGACAAAAACAAATGATCGCGATTTGTTTGCGTTGATAGAGTGTAGAGAGATGAAGAAATCGAAATGGTGTTGCGTTTTGCGAAGGAAAAAAAATAATAATGCCGATTTCAAATGAGTACGATGAGTTGGTGAAACGAGTTTTTGTGCCGCTTTTTTTTCTATTGCGATTTGATACAGTGATAGTTTGCGTTGTGGTCGCGCACATATTCAAATAAATGGATCAACGACAAACACGTGTATCACATTACATTTCTCCCGCTCACGCTCACAGTGCTTTTTTACTGCAGCCGCAGCCGCAGCAGCAGCATCGAGCGCGGCACGGACGACGACAACGACGACAGAAGCAAAAGTAACAACAACAACAGCAGCAACACAAACGCAACGCCACCAACCAGTTGAACTGAATTCAGCTCTCGACCAGCTGAAAGCACTAGCACACACAATGTAAATAGACATGCAAACCATAAGGTTCACACAGCTGAGCCAACCGAAAGACCGAGACGCACGACGAACGAGCGAAAGAGATACATGAACCGGCTGGGCTTGACGTTCTAGAACGCCGCGTGCGCGCACCAACCAGCAGCAACAGCAACGAACAGCACACAGTGTGTGTGCGATTGTTTTGCTTTAACTTGAAACCGATTCAATGCTTTCGATTCAGTTCTGATTTGATTATACAGGAGTAAGCACACGCAACCAGCCAACACCAGAAAACACACTCTGTCATCGTCGGCAAATTATTTTTTCGAAGCGAAAAAGAGAGTGAATAAGAAAAATTCGTTCAAACGAAACGAAAAAAAAAACACCGATTTAGGTACATATTGTTTGTCACCAAAATCGATTTGGTTTTATTTCGGAAATTAAAATAAAAGTCGAGAAAGAATTAGAAAAGTGGCCAATTTTTCGTTGGGCTTCAAATTGTTCAAATCATTTTTTGGGTTAATAAAATTCTATGAATCTATCGTTATTTGGTACGTGAGTGTGTGCGTGTGTATCGTTTGTTTTCTCCAATTTTGATTTGATTTTGTTTTCATCGTACGACCAAGAAAGAAACACGAGCCTAAGATTAAACTTGAACCGAAACACACATAGAGACACAATAATCCGAAACGACTAGAGTCGACATAATCGCGGAATAGAAGAGACAAATATCGACGATAACACGGGCGAGATTCTTGTGCGAACGAAAAACGAGAAAATTCGATTCGAACTTATAAAAAATTGTTTTTTTTTCTTCATTCAATTTGTTTTTGTTTTCCCTCTTTCACTGTTTGACGGAGCAAATAAACAGCAGAAAAAAAAATTCGTTCGGCTTAAAATAGATTGGACGCGATTTTCAAACGTGTGAAACAGTGATAACAACAAGCGACAACGAATCGCAAGCGAACGAAAAAAAATTCATTTCGGTCACTCAACGCTTTTTTACGTGCATTTTTTTCAAAAATCATAACGCGACACCGGCTCTTTTTTTTTTCTATAATAAACATTTCCGATTGAATCGCTCAAGTCTGTCATGCATTTTTTAGCAATAATATGCGAAATAAAAAGTGAGAGATAAATTTACAAACAAAACGGTGTGACAAGAGGTGAAAGCGACCAACAAATCCATCCTCACAACTCATTTTGCTGTTCGGATTTCAAACGCAACCAATTTGCCGATGTCATTTTATATATCGACGGTGGGAATAGATAACGTTTCTTTTGTACACGACTAGTTTTTTGAAGAGAGAGAGAAAAACAAGAAGAAAATCAGAGAAAAGAACAACAACAATAGCCGCAGCAACAACATACACATCAAGAACAAAGAAGCTAGTGTCAGCAGAAACGATATAACAACGAGTCGAGCCAATTCTATGTACTGGATCTGGTTAATTCAAGATCTCTCTGTGTGGAAATAAAACAACAGCAACGCGACACACGAAAAAAATTGATCAAAATCTTCGCTCAACGAAAATCAAAGTAAGTGTTGGGTTTGTTTGTTCATTACCTCACATTCTTCTTCGTTTTCATTTTTTTTTTCAATAACATTGCCATTTTCACTTCATTCAATCAGATGATTTTTGTGCATGAAATAGAATCGTTAGCATTTTGATAAGAAATCAAGTAGCCCCCAAGTGGCTAGCAACACCAATGGTGTGAAGGAGAGAGTGAACGAGTGTGGAAGAGAGCGAGTATTGAAGAGAGATAAAGAGCGATTGAGAGTGAGTGTGAAAGAGGGTATGAGAGAGAGTGCGACAGAGAGTGAGAGCGATTGAGAGCAAAGGTGAGAGAGTGAGAAAAAGAAAAAGAATGAGTGAGAGCAAGAGAGAACGACAAAGAAAGCAAAAAAAGCAAAGAAGAAGCAAAAAAAAAACGCAAACGGTGTGTTGTTCAACAAATAAACAAGTAAAACACACTCACATACATCATACAAACGGAATGGGAAAGAAAAAGACGAAGGAGAGAGCGCGCGGGCTGGCAGAAATAGAATGATGCCGTGAAAAGTTTTCTTCGTTTCGTTAAGTGAACTGAGAAATGCCGGCATTCAAATGACATTGTGTGTGCAACGAACTGAAAATCAACGTTCACTGCAGCACATTCTCGCGCGCTGCACTCTCTCGATACTCATCGAGTGCATACACAGTGTGCGACTTTGTTTTGCCGTATTACTTTGTTTTCTCTCTTGTCTTTTTCTCTAGCGTTCTCTCTCTCCCTCTCACATTGTCTTTAGTTTCATTTTGTGTGTTTTTTTTCCTCATTCGGTTGTACTTGTTGCATTTTATTGTTGCATTGTGTGGTTTTGTGCACTGGACACGACAAACACTCTCTTTCAAAGTGCGCGCATACCGTGTACAACGAATTTAATAGAGGAAAAAACGAAATAAATTAATATATATAAATATTCTATCTCGGCCATTCGACTTTGATAATAAATAAACACTTGAACGCGCTCACGCGCAAACAAAATCGAAAGAAAAAAAATTGTCAATTTAACCCAATAGCAAATAAAACGAAGAAACAAACTGCACTCAATTTATTGATGATACACTACGACCAATCTATATACGACTAAAATAATATTGAGAAAGACGAAAATAGATAGACAGTTGTTGTTGTCGTTCGTTTGAAACGAATAAAAATAATCGATTGGTTTAAGTGCACTATCAGCGAACACAAGACGAATATTTACAACATTGAGCTGAGAGCGAGTGTAATGCAATGCGAGATAGACACGACACACTTGTATCGCAACCGCGCGACCACTTGACACAAGTTTTGCCAAGTGCAAGCCAAGTGATGACTGAAATGAAAGAGAATAAAATTGGAATGGGCTGAGTGAAAATAGTCTTTTCAAAAGATCAGGAAGGAGACCGATTTGAACATTTTTACACGGTAATGTAGAATGCGAAATGATTTGGAAACAAATTCTTTAGATAGAATACCGAGATGGCATTTTTCCTCGATGAAATGCATCCGTATGAAAAGGAGATTGATGTGAGACGAGTTACAGCTAGAATAAGCCTCACAGAGCTTGTCTCAGAACAAAAATGGGAGAAAGATCTGAATGAAAAAAATTAATCCAAAAAGAGAAAGGGCTAAAAATCAAGGAAAATGAGAAAAATGAGAATAATTTAGATGAAGTCGAGGAAAATGGGGGAAAATACGAGAAAAAAACCCATGAAAATGCGAAAAACAATGAAAAATGCGGCAAAAAACCCAAGAAAAAAGGACAAAAATGCAAACAAAATATAGGGAGACTCCACGGCTACCGAAAAAAAACACCGGTATTTTGGCGGTGTGAACGTTCAATTGTAACAGAAATAACCGCGCCGATAATGAAATCTCCAAATGCTCATACGCTTTCAGCATTCCAATCCAATGTACTAAACACCTCTCTCGCGTGCGTATTGAAACTGTTAAGCGGCATGCGAAGCCAACGTGTTTATTCGCTTTTTTTATGTGTATTGTTTATTCGATTTGAGTGCGAAAGTCGTGTTCGGTTTTTTTTTTCTCATTAAATTTCTTGTTGTGTTTGTTGAAATTTTCGTTATTTTCAAATGGAAATTTACCGCTTGCATCATACACACGCTTTGCTGTGAGTCACACCATCAATTTCTTTTCTCTTCTCTTCTCTGTCTATTCTTATACGTTAATTATTCTCACTTTGATGGAACGCAACGTGTGTGTTTCTCTTCTTTCGTTCGTTTGTTTGTTTATTCATTCCGTTTCTATGCGATGGGTTAATCGAATCAAATTGGGCTGTTACAACAGAAAAATGTTGCAAAGTAAATGTCTCCTTATTTAGCTCAATCGATTTTAAAATTCATTGTGTCAAAGAGTGCGCATTTTGCGAAAAGCCGCATTATTCGTTAATCAGCCGGCAATGAGACTGCAAAGTCAGTTTTGAAACCATACACACAATCGTCAATATTGCACGTCACATATGATCGGCGAGTGCTACAAAACACCGTGCATGAGACGAATAGGCACTGAGAGTGTGAGACTGAACGTGAACATGCATAAGAGTAGGGATAAAGAGAGAAGAGAGAGAGAGAGACAGAGAGAGAGAGAGAGTAAGAAAGGGAGAGAAAGTGTCTGCGAAAGAGTTGCACACAAAATAACCTGCTGATGGGCACACACATTCGTCAGCTGTGCACAATCAACATGAAGTGTGTGTATTTTGTAAGCCGGTTTATTTTTGTGCATTTTCATTCGAATACCGGTCGTTGATATAGAAATAGATTTCTTTGCGCTATTGCCTTCTCTTTCCCTCTTTTTTCCTCTCTTGCTCTCTCTTTTCTCACTCTCTTCTCTTGCTTTCCCTCTGTCTCTTTCTCTCGGTGCACGCAAATATATCCCAATTAACGTTTGCCCAATGCGCAATTCATTCTAGCAGCCGTGCAGCGCGAGTTGCGGTATTTTTTGTTTGAATCGATTGAGTGCATCAAATAAAAATTCCTATCGTTGAACATGCTCATTGGGATCGAACAATGTTCAAGTGAATAGAGATATATAAAGCCGTTTAAACGAGGCAATTGCTTTTGCCTCATTTCACCTTTTCGATCAAAAGAACGAAAAGCGATTTGTTGTTTTCTTCCTGGCCTCTGCGACACGTCGCAGATGTTGCGAGAAGAGAAGCACTCATTCGAAGGCCCAATGCTAATTTTTGCACCATGTGTGGCTTTTCTGTTCTGTATTAGCCAAATGGTGAATTTTAAATTGCGCTGTTTGACAAAGGAAATTTAAAGGTGATTAAGCACTAATTTACAAATGATTTATTCGCTTATCGAATTGTGTGTTTTTTTCACACACAATTTACGCAAATGCATACTTTGTTTTCTTCTCTTTCTTCTTCATTCCCCGTTCGCTATCTGCTATGGTTCAATATTTCCCCATTTCTATCAACTGCTCGCCTTTGCTCTGTCCTTTTTTTTGTCGCTTTCTTCATTACATTTCGATGATCTTTTGTGCCTTTGTTTACTTGTAGCCCCGCATGTCACTTCGTTCAATTTTCTAACATTTTAACATATTGCATTTCCTCAGTTGATTTGCGAGAGTGCAAAAAAGAAATGTACGCGACAGCGCGCACGCTTGCGTTTACAAAAATAAAATTCAAATCATTGCAAGAGAAATGAGAAGAATCACAGCAATGTAGCAAACGAGCTAGCAAACGTAACGAACACGAGAAAGTTGTGAGACGCAAGAAATGGCATTTCGTTGATGTTTATTTTGTATAAATTTGTCAGTCGCAAAATGGGCGCAATCATACAAAAATATAAACAAATTCATGTGGTGCAATTTAAATGATGGGTAGAATGGGTGGGAAAAAGGGAGAGAAATGAGGGAATAGGGAGAGAGATGGGAACAAGTGAGACAGATGGGGAAGACAGTGCGGGGGAAAAGGGAGACAAAGATTGAGATCTTCCGCTAGAAAGAAAGACAAGAGGAAAAGAGAGTGAGAAAGGTGACGACGACGACGACGACGATGACAACAACAAGAGCACGAACCAAGTGTGAGAGATTTTGAGCGAAATTTATTTTGCGATTTAGCTCTTAAAAAAAGGGGGCACACACGCGCGCTCATCCAACGACAACAACAATGAACAACGATTATGGCCAAATAAATAGCGCAAATAGTACGGGAGGGAAAAAAAGGCGAGAAAAATGTGTATGACCAAATACACACACAAATTAGATAGCGCGCCACAATTTTTTGTTCGTTGTTGTTGTTTCGGCCCGATCCGACCGGTCGACACACAAAACAAAGCAACGCGTCAAAACAGAGTGTGCGGACGAGCGGGCCAGCGAGCAGACGATAATCGTATAAAAAAAAAATCATCATAATTCTGTGGCGAAATATCGAAGTAGAAGCGGAATAGTAACAGCAACAGCAACAACGACGACAAAAGCCAATCGAAAAATTGTAAACATCTCACTCGCCCATGTTATCATTTGAAATTGTGGTCTATACTATACGTGTGTACATCGATCGCGGTTGTTATTACTGTTGGAATCGCCAAACTCTTTCTCTCTAACGTTAAGAGAAAAAAAATTCTCTCTTTTGCAAATTCGCTTGAGAGAGTGTCACATAAATATCATTCCTCTCAAAATACCGTGGCTTATGCCGTTGCAGCGTAGAAAAGAAGAATGAAAAAAACACGGTACGATCTCTAACCTGATTCCGTGTCTAAGCCACAAAATAATTTCGATTGCACATGCCATATGCAAATGCACATAAAAAACTTTCTCGCTTTCTATGGAGCCCCTGTGAGTTTGTGTTTGTCGCACGTGTGCACATCTTGATATAAACAAATCTCATGGCCAGAAAAAAAGCAAACGAACAGTCATTTTATGGACCATTTTTTTCTTAAAATTATGGCGAATTCTCGGCTTATTTCGATGTCTCTCTCTATCTCTCTTCGTATCTCTATCAATTTGGTTCTGTCTCATCGCAAAATTACCATAAAATCCAAATTCAG